AATAGTTTTGGGTTCAGGATTGTAACTGGGTACTAGTATTTTCTTTTCCAAGTTTTGCCTCTTGCTTCCAATTAGCTCATCTACAAAACTATACATCTAAGCCTCATATCTCTCTCATCTCCAAAACTTTGATCATAATTGAATGTTTAGTTCTAACCTCAAGTTCAAATGTCCAAATTCTATTCCTATAACTAATTCTCTATTCCTCTGGACCAGCCTTTTTCACACTGGTGTCCTCGAGAAGGCCTCACAGTATGTTGCTAGTTATGGTCTAAAAATGTCATCACAGTAAACAGGTTTCTTTGGTCAGAGACTTTTCATAGCCTTGCACATTTGTGAATCTACAAGAGGGAAATATTATATGTAGCATTTCCTGAACTTATTTTTAACTACTCTTTTTTTTTTTTTTTCCATGGGGCACCTATTAATATCTCCTGGAACCAGTGTTTCACAGAATACTTTAGTAAACACTGTTCTATTCTTCCTTATTTCAAAGTAACAACCAGTTAAACTCAAAAAGCACCTCTAATTTCTCACTCTCTCCCCAATAACCAATCTGTAGCTAAATTCCTTTTCCTTTCCAATCTTATCATATTCTTCCTTCCTGTTCTCTCTGAAACACTGAATGTCAGACCCTGTCATACATAAGAGTTATAAATCATATAATAAATATTAGATGTGTTGCCATCAACCCTCAAGGCTGTCACAAGTATTAAAAAAGAATGAATGTGACTTCTTGAATAATATATCTTTCATAAGCATCCAAGCATCTGAGTTACTTGAAATTTGTTCTTTAATATGGAAAATTTTAATTCAAAGCTTATGAATATCCATCTCTTTGATAAGACTAGCAATGGTCTCATAAATATCGGCCATGACTGGGAACTTTTAAATGAATTAAATAAGAAATGCAGGTAATACAAATGTGGTGTAACAACAGTGGCACAGTGGGTATAATGCCCAGCACTGGGTCACCACCTGCTTCAAAATATAATCAGGGGGTACAGAAAAGGTAACAGCTTACAGCTAGTTCCCCATTTATTCAAGCATTAAAGTTGTTTTTTGTGGGGGTTTTTGTTTTTTTGACTCTGTATCAGTAAACTGTGTGCCTCCCTCAATGAGCCAAGGTTTCAGAAGAGGTGAAGACCATCATTCCTGAACATTTATTTGTAACCCCTTTCTGATGTCGCCATGAAAAGAACATATATCCAAAACATTATTCCCTCACTCAAACTGTATCTGAGTGCTAGATGTTGGAGACACAATGAGGCACAAGACAGAATCATCCCTGTCTCCACAGAACTTGCATTCTTCTGGAAGAGATAGATATATGGAACTATTAATTATAAAACTATTTAACTACAATCGAGGTAAGTATACACCAGCTGCTTCTTTTTTAACCTTTGGTTATTATTCACAGTTCAGTAAGAAGGAAAGAAATGGGGTGGGGGGGCATTAAGCTCACATAGGGTTCAAAACAGTATGTCTCCTTAGAGCCTTTTAGAATTGGCCAAAAAAAAAAAAAAAGCCAAACAAATATAGAATATCTGGGGGAAAACAAGGATGGGTAAGTGGGGAACCTCTGGCCACAAGGTAGCATCAAAAGCAAATTCTTTGAAATTGCGCCCATGACGACAAACACACGGCAGAATACTGCCTCTTTGTCTTGCTGCCAAAGGTAAAAGAAAAACTGCTCAATTTTGAGTGTTTACTATTTAGAGAACACTGTGATATAAATTTTACATAAAGATGAGTGATTATGATAATGATGGTGACAAGAATAACTAACATTTCCATTTTACAACTGAGGAAACCGGAAGTGAAGCAGTTTAGGTAATTTGTCCAAGGTCACAGAAGCTATTAGGACAGAGCTGGATTCACACCCAGGCAGTGTGGTTTGCTCCTGACCACTCTGCCATAACTGCTTTTGCATGTATGTACATGAAGACATGGTACCTGACCTCTCTGAGGTGTTCATTTATTTAAAAGTTCAACACATACAACTAAAATTCTCTGGGAATTGTAATTCTGAAGGATCCTGTGTTTAACATATCAGGAATTTTCATGATCATCAATATTTACTGAAGCTCATTATGTGAAAAGCTTTTTATTACATTATGAAAATACAAAGAGGCTGAAAAAACGAAAAGTTGCTGTTCAGCTTACAATTTAAGAAGAGAAGTCTCCATTAAAAATAGACTAGAAACCTCAATTTGTCCTAGCAATTAAACTAGTGCTCATGAATTTCACAATTCAGACACACACATAACGGTATACATGGAATTTTATTACATAAATGTCAACTTATCTCGTTCATAGTAAAAGTATTCAATTCATCTATTCTGAAGGAAGGGATACTTGTCTTCTGAAGGTAGCATTAGCAGTTACTCATTCTTTTAAGGATATTTTCTGAACTTTGAGAATATGTGTGTCATCGCTATATTAAAAACAGGCACAAGAAGCTCATCTTTTATCCCTGGAGTGAAGTATGTAATCGGGCACAAGATAGGCACTTAAATGTTTGCTAAATGAACAAACATTACTATTTTACTATAACGCTAAAAAAAAGCATGCAAATATAAAATATGTACCTCCCCAATATTGCTGTTACATAACTCGCAAGCAAAGCAATGAAGTGTGTTTACTATCCAGAAAAGTGGCCCCTACAGTGAAGTTCATGATCTTCCAAATATTTCACATGATTCAACCATTAGTTACCACTCTGATAAAAGAGGTAAGAAAAGGGTCTCTTCCAGGCTGCCCTAGAATCCATTCTAAGTCTCTGGTGGATGTGCTGCTTATCTTTTGGGGGGAGATGCTGCTTTTACCCAACTTAAAGCCCTCATTTGTCAGGATTTTTAGGTATAATTATTCAAAACAAACGATAAAAGGTTCTCAAAAAATAAAGTTACTTAAAGAATACTTAACAATTCTATTTAGGCCACAGAATTACTTTCACAACCTCAAAGATTTACTGTTATCCAAATGTTTCCTCACTGTAGGGAGGGGGTTAATCAGTAGAAAGGTGTTAATTTTTAAGGCAGCTGAGCCCAGCGGCTTGAACTCGTCTAGCATGTAAATCAGACCCAAGCCGGGGTGGGCACTGAGGTGCACAAGGACAGAAGTGCCAGGATGAAGAACCCCCGTCTCCTCTCCCACTGCAGGAACTCTTAGGAGTGCAGATTAAAAGGGCTAAAACACATTGTTTTCAGTTTACTCTCAACAGTAAATATTTCCTGAATTCACCTTGGATGCAAACAACCATCAGAAAGCATTGCAGAAGAGTTACAGACACCGTTTACAGCTGATGGCTGGCAGATTTACTGGTGATGCATTTTGTTAGACCTTGTGGCAACATTAGATATAACTGCACATGACTTGAAATACTCCTTTAAAAAGTATAATGTTCTCCTAGAAAAGGGATAAAAAATAAGCATTTACTATATTTCAATTTTTAAATGAGAAGAGTGTTTTCTCCAGTTGTTGTTTTTGCTGTGGGTGTTTACATTAAAAGGACAACAAAATGGTATGCTAAGTTTGGGAAATACAGTCTCCTCTAAGTGAAGACACCACTTTTACTTAACTGTAGGTATCAGAATTACAAATAGATGCAACTTTTTCATTTTATAGCTGTTGCCATGTTCATACAAAGCAAAACAAAACTTTTTGGCTCACACATTCCTGCAAGATAATTATCCTTCTAAATTCACATTTTTTGAAACAATTGTAGTAACTCCCAGATTTACAAAACAGCCATTTATTATTACTTATTATTTTACAGAACAAATACAAAAGAGAAAGTGAGCTTTTATACAGTTTCAAACCATGTTCTCTCCTTAGAAGAAAACTCTTTAGGAACTAGTATCCATTATGAATCAAAAACTTTTTCAGAAGCCACTCTCTCAAAAACAAAACCATCACCAAAAATAAACCAATCGTAGAGCTACTCTGAAAAGTATTTCACAATGTTCAGCATTAACAACTAGAATGTACACCCAGCAGTGCCAGGAAAGCAACACAGGACCAGCAGACGAAGTTGTCTTTCTCACTGCCAAGTGATACTGAATAAAGACCCTGCGGGATATTAAACATCACCTTGTACTTGTCATGGGCCCAGGGCCCAGCTTCTGAGGCACTCCTATGAGAGCCCAGCTGTTTTGATTGATTTATCCACAGGACATAGGAGGCAGTGATTATACTCTCCCCAAATCTTTCTAGCACTGTAATGAAACATTTTAAGGGACGGATACCAACTGAGATTAATTTCTCCTTCAAATATTCTCCTCCTAACTCACTAATGGCAATATCTGACTCACCACACTTCACATGGAAGAACATAAGACCAAGCTCAGAAGGAAATTTATGTTTTACCCATTTTAAGACCACGGAACAAATGTACTCTCTTTGCATCCTCCTCTATTATCTTCAAAGGAAAACTGTACTAGAATGCTACTGACACTTCTTTGAAAATACATGAACCAGTTCCTTCAGCTCTTTCTGCACCTGCTTACCGCTCCTGGTACCAAACCTCCAGAGTACCAGAAAATTAGGTGTGGCTTTTCATAATTTCACCAGTAGTAGACTATCAATTAAATTACAACTCATTCTGTTTATTGTTTTCCCCTCAAGAACCTAAATGAAAATATACAAGACACACAATTTTCAAATGCCACAAGTAAAGACAGATCTCATATACCAGGTGGGGCAGACGACATGTTCAATTAGCCGGAAAAACAAAAGAAACAAAATGAAATTTTATAAATACTAAACCCTGCATTTAGATTTGTTAAGAGGGTTTGCCATAGATAAGTACAAAATGAAGAAATCTTAAAAAAAAAAAAATCGAGGGTTTTAGTTCGCTAAACCGAAGTCTGCCTGCATTCACATTACAGCACATAAAATAAGCAGGGAAGGCGAGCAGTGGGTCTTCAAAGTTTCCCGAAGAAACCAATTAAGGAAAAGCATCAGTTGTATGAATACTTATTTGATACTGAGGAAACCTGGTCGGGTTTAGAGGCTCTTGAGTATGCGGTCATGCGGAATGGGCGAGAGAGGCTGAGTGCAAGGCTGAAGGCACCCAAAACAGAGCTCCCTTTCTGGTGGGTCAATGGTTAAGGCAACCTCAAGGCGAAGTCACTGCTCCAGAAAGCTAAGTTCACATGCTCCTATGGAAAAGCACAAAAAACATCCTGTTTAAAATAAAACGAAAACCGTCCTCCTTTTATTCTGGCAATCAAACACAAGTCCAGGTAAATGCAACACTTCACTGCTAATTCATGAGAGTGAATGATAAAAACTTAGAAGCAACTTTCCCAGCTATAGTTACAGGGACACTATTACGTGCTTAACTTTAATGCTTAAATGTTCTTGCTTTGAGAAACTTTGCTCCCACAATGACCATGGATTGGGGATAGTAAAGAGCACATACGAGGTATCACCACGTACATTTCCAAGCTCAGCTGAATTAGCCCTTATCTTCCGTGGAGGGAAGTGCAGTAGGGTGGGGTAGTTACACCACTGTTCGTATTTTATCAATAATGAAAAGGATTGTAATTGGAATAAAAATCATATCGACTGGCAAAAACTTCCACCCATTCCTCAAAATGAGTGCCCTAAGAAGCCAGAACTCAGTGGCAAACATGATCATGTTCCTGCCATAATGAACCTTGAATTCCACTAATTATCTGTTTCTTCCACCTATTTTCTAAGAATGATAAATGCCTGCAAGGACAGTGTGCAAGGGAAGGGCACTGTTTTAGTGAACACGAAGAGTATTTAACAATGACAAGGAAGCATCCTCAAGAGGAGGAGGAGGAAAAGCATTCCTAGTGGAGGGAACAGGAAGGTTCTGAGGTGACATAAGGTTGAAATGACCCAAAGGGATGGAAAGAAGGCCAATGCAGCCAGTGCACAATGTACAAGGCAGAGACCAGTGAGGGACGAGCTGAGAGGTGGAAAGGGCCAGACATTGAAGGCGTGAAAATGAAAATCATAGCATCTCTGAAACAGTGGAGGCAGTCAAGGAAACTGCATCAAGCATAATTACTGACCTATTAACTGCCCCTCCCTCCCACACAAAGTAAGTGTCTGTATAAAAGACTTAAAAAAATTTTTTTTTTCTTTACTGATTTTAGAGAGAGAGGAAGGGAGAGGGAGAGGGAGATGGTAACATTGATGAGAGAGAACATCGATTGGCAGCCTTCTGTGTGCTGCCCATTGGGGACTTGGCCCACAACCTGGGCATGTGCCCTGACCGGGAACTGAACCAACAACCTCTTGGTGCATGGGTCGATGCTCAACCACTGAGCCACACCAGCCAGGATGTATAAAAGACTTTTAAACACTGACCACATCGTGAATAACAAAGATAAACAAGATGACTTGTGACTGAAAATAAAGGTGACTAACATACAGTAGTGCCTTAAAAACAAACAAAATACCCCATGCTTCAAATCATAGTGATTCCACAAAGAAAAGCAATCCCTTCATGGAATACAGAAGGATTAAACGATGTGACTCTAAAAGTGTTTAAGTGTCAAAGTGGCCATCTGACCTCCATTTCATGTCTTCTTATAGTAGGCAGAGAAGGAAGAACTGGTCAGTGAGTAACATTCAGAGATGGCTCCATGACTACGTGAGCCTGAAAATTAAGCCTTAGTCCTTTCTCAGCTCTACACTGTTATTCACCCTTCTAAAAACATTTCTTTGCTCAAGTGAGTCTTATACTCTAAAGCCTGTTTACAATCAGCTGGGGAATCAGCAGGGGCAAGGATGGGCATCCATACAGTAAGATTTCATGTCCTTTCTCCAATATATTCAGACAATAAGAACAGTTTTAAGGCTAAGAACATGCCCTCTGGCCATGGGAAATGAGAAGCTATTTTGCCTCTGTCTTACTAACACAAATCAAGAACTGTCTTAAGAAGGACTTGAACCTGTATACTGCCAGAAAAGCTCAGTATCTGCTGTGCAAAATGTCAAAATAATCTTGGTATAAATTATTAAATTTAAGCAAATAACTCTTAGAGGGATATTTCCAACTTATTCTCCAAGGGCTGCTCATTCACATATTTACAGACACTGTGGCAGTCACTATGATAGGCACCCATCAAAGTGCAGTGTTTTGTGAAAGCAGGTACTTTAAGGGATCTTAAAGTTCTTTTGTTGAAATAACTAACCAGTCCTTGGCTTCAACCTCAAACCATATACTTTGGTTTATACTCCTGAGTAGATCCAAAATTGCTTAAGGCATTAAAAACATTCCTTGTTTCACTCTCTCAGAAAAAGGTAAGCATTACACTAACTTTCAAGCCAAGTTCAGAAAAAGGCATTTGAAGATGTTCTATGGTGAGAAGTTAGCCAAAATACCCAGACTGTTTGGTTAAGGCCTAAGACTAAGAATGATTTTTAAAAATAGTTTTAAAGGGTTAAGAAAACAAAGAGTATATATGCTCATGAAAGCCTAAAATATTTACTATTTGACCATTTACAGAAAAAGTGTGCCGGTCTCTGACCTGAGGCAAGTAGTTCCCCCAAACCAGCTCTGTATCCAAATCATCTAAAGAGCTTAAAAAAAAATTTACAGAGTCCTAGGCTTTCCTCCATACCAACAGAATCAGAGTCTCCAGAGCTAGAATCTAAGAACCTTAATTTTAATTTTAAAAGTTTTTTTTGGAACGTCTGAGTCAGGAAGATAATAGCAGAAGCCTGAATCCCAATCTCTCTCCCCCCAAAATATAAAAAGCACAGAGAGTGCAAATAAAACCACACGTGACCTCCGGTATTACTAGGAGACAGAACACCACAAACTTCAAATTATCTTTAAATAGAGAAATAAACACCAAAATCCAACAGAGCTCCCACTTACTGCCTCTGCAAGCTTGTGGGCACACAGCACAGGAGAGAAGGAGTCTCAGAGACTCTATGAAAAAGAGAAGAGGGACCAGATGCCACAGATGAAACACAGAGAAAAGCCACGCACAGAACAATAAAGTCCAACATCATATCAGGTGTCAAATACTGAACACTGGAATTTGGTAGTTTACAACATCAGCTACACAGAAGTAGATTAGAAGGGAACAGCAAGTGTTTCCTGGGGAAACAGATCAATAGAGAAGGGAGGTGCCCTTGGAGATACTGTGGTGAAGAAAAAGAAGGAAAAATTAAGAATACTGCACAAACCAAAGAGAAAAAGAAATACAAATTCCTGCCTAACCCCCCCCCCACACCCACTACTGCTATCATCCATTAAAAAAAAAGGACTTTGCTATTTTGACAGGAGACATTTATCAACCAAGAAACTTGTCCACAAAATGCTTAGGAAGAGGGGAGGGGGGGCAAACCCAATTCCATAAAAGCTACCAGAGGAAGAAAACAGAAAATGCAAATCACAACATTTCAGCTGATGAACATTCTCCCCACAAAACAATGATAACACACACCAAAAACAATGAAACATTAGAAAACTGTAAAGCAATACTTCTAATTGAATTAAATAACTTCAAGCAAGTATTTGGAGATAAAAACAAAAAGCAGAAATGAACAAAAATCCAATAATGAGAATTCATCAATCTGAGAGACAGAATGAGAGAGAAGACAAAATCATTTCTGAAATTAAGAATAAATTGTAAAATGCTCAAGGGAGAATGCATTTGAGTGAAAAATCTAACAGGACATTGAAGAAGGCAAACAAGAAGGAGAATGAAAATGAGATAACAAATGGGAATAAAAGGGTCAGAAGAAAGAGTCTGAAATGTAACACATGCCAGAGATCCAGCACTGTATAACTGGAGTTCTTCAAGAAGACAATATAACAGGATAGAATTGCTATTTAAAATTATAATTCAAGAAATCTTTTTAAGAAACATGAATCTAAACCACCACATTTGGGAAATTTAACCCAGAACAATCTACTTCAAGATACGTCTTAGTAAACATACTGTAGTCAAAGACAAAGGGGAAAATCCTTAGAGCAAAAAATAAAATAACTTTAAAAATGAAACTATACCTTAAAAGCAATATATGTATTTTAAAAAGACATGTGGAATAGCATTTTCAAGAAACTTAATAATGTGGAAGCAAAGCTTTCCCTCAAATATCAACTCTATAGGGGAAAAAAAAAAATACAGTTCTGAATATACAAGGACTCAGGAATACTCATGTTGCTGCTGAAGATGCACTTCAACCAAGAAATAACTGGGAAGCTTTAGCAGAAGGACTAATGGTGAGCATTCAATATATTTAACTGTAGCACTAAGACATAGGTAGAAATATAGTCAAAAGAACAGAATGGCCCAGACAGTGTGGATCAGTGGATTGAGCACTGTCCCATGGACTGAGAGGTCCTAGTTCAATTCCTAGTCAGGGCACATGCCCAGGCTGCAGGCTCAATTCCCACTAGGGGGCATGCAGGAGGCAGACAATAGATGTTTCTCACATCGATGTTTCTATCTCTCTCTTAAAAAAATTCAATAAAAACATATTTTAAACAAAAGACTATAAAAATGTACAGAATGTACACCTTATATATAACACTGACAAAATTAGAAAGAACATATAAATATAAATGAAAAAAGAGGAAATAACTATTTATGCAAAGGAAATTTCAAAAACATATTGAAAACCTCTATGTAAATAAATCTTAAAACCTAGATTAAATGGGTAATTTCTTAACAGAATACAGTTTACCAAAACCGACCATAACAAAGATGAAACAAAAATGTGCCCTGGCCGGTTTGGCTCAGCGGTTAGAGCATCGGCCTGCGGTCCAGAGACACCCGGGTTCGGTTCCTGCTAAGGGCATGTACATTGGTTGCAGTTTGTCCCCGGCCCTGGTTGGGTCGTGACGGTGGCAACCTTTCACGTCGATGTTTCTCTTTCATGTCAATGTTTCTCTCTCTCTCCCCCACTCTATCTGAACAAAAAATGGAAAAATGTCCTCAGGTGAGGATAAAATAAATAAATAAATAAAAGAAACAAAAATGTCACTAAAGAAAAACCTCCACAGAAAAACACCAGGTCCAGAGTTTCATGAAGACATTCTACCAAACCATTGAAGACCACAGCTCCATGTTACATAAATTGTTTCAGAGAACAGAAAATAAAACTTGTAAGTTTTTTATAAAGCAACTATAATAGCAATATCTACACCTAATAAAGACATTAAAATTGCATACCAATATTAATTTTGAAAATATTCTAGTGTTTTATTTAGGATCTCTGTAAACAGATTCCAAAACCATACTAAAAAACTACAGAATGATAAAGTGATATTTCTACCAGGAATGCAAGGATAGTCCAACATTAGAAAATTAGTAAATAAGAATGAGTGAATAGTTAACATGATAATATTATATGTATCTCAATTCTAAAGTCATATATTAGTGGGAAATACAAGAGGCAGGTCAGAAACAAGAAAAGAATGTACACTATGAGACGAATGGATAAAAAAGCTGTGGTACATATACACACTGGAGTACTATGCAGCTGTAAGAAAGAAAGATCTCTTATCCTTTGAGATGACATGGAGGGACCTGGAAAGTATTATCCTAAACGAAACAAGCCAAAGAGAGAAAGACAAGTATCATATGATCTCACTTATTTGTGGAATATAATGAACATAACAGTCTGAGGAATGGGGTAGTCCCAGAGACATGGAAGTGGGGTACAGACTGACAATTCCCAAGAGAGGGGGTGGTAGGGGAGAGATAAACCACAAAACTTATATACATGTATGCATGAACAATGGGACATGGACAACAAAGCTGGGGACAGGGTGGGGAGGGAGAGGGAGGGGGGAATCAGTGGGATGAAAAAGGAGAAACATCTGTAATAAAAATAACTTCAAAAAAAAAATGTCCACTATGTCCATTACTATTTATCATCATTCTAAAGGTACAAGCTAATGAATCAGACAAAAGAAAACAACTAGGGATGTAAGAACTGGAGAAAAGTAAAATAATCTCTATAGATGACATTATATCTAAAAAACCCTAAACTCCAGAATCAAGAGAATCAGTGAAAACAAACTTAATGAAACAATTAAGTCATAAGGATTAAAATTAACATGTAAAAA